AGCTCAAAGGCATCAATTCTCCTTCTATCCTCCCTAGTCATTGTCCAACTCTCTGATGCATAAAAAGTGATTGCAAAGACCATGACCTGTATCAGAAGCACTGTAGTCTCCAGAGTGACACCATTGCTCTTCAGTACTTTGGAGAGATCCCTAACAGCAGACTTTCCCATCGCAACATCTTTTCATTTCCTAGCTGCTGGTGCCAAGAGTGTTGACTGTGGAGCCAAGTAAACTAAAGCTGTGAACAACCTCAATCTCTTCATCATCTATCCTGATGCTGCCCATTGGTCCAGAGATGAAAATCTTTGTCTTCTTGATATTGATCCTCAATCCATTCCTGATCGACATTGAGTTGGTTTTTATATAAGGTGTGAGGTGTGGGTCTTGCTTAAGTTTTCTACAGACAGTTTTCCAGTTATGCCAACACCATTTGTTAAAGAGACTGTTCTTTCCCACTTAAATGACTCCAACCTCTTGTCAAAGATTAGTTGACCATACATAAGTGGATCATCTGATGTCAGGGTTTCTCAATTCTATTCTTTTGATCTATGTGTCTGTTGCTGTACCAGTACTATGCTGTCTTGACCACCAAAGCTGTGTAGTAGGATTTGAGATCAGGGAGTGTGATGCCACTTACCTTGTTTGCCTTTTTAGTTGTGTTTTGCTCCTTCAGGGTCTCTTTCCATTCCAAACAAAGCTGGGATTGCCTTTTCCATCTCATTGAAGCATGGAATTGCTATCTGTATTGGGATTGCATGAGCTTGCAGATTGCATTTGGTAGAATTGTCCTCTTCACAAAATTGAGTCTTCCTACCAGTGAGCATGGTATATTCTTGTATTTTTCCAAATCTCTTTTTGTTTCTTGTAGTAATTTTTGTCATTTTCTGTGAATAGGTCTTTTATGTCTCTAGTTAAATTTATTTCCAAATATTTCATCTTGAAGTTAGCTATTGTGATTGGTATTGTTTTTCTTAGCTCCGTTTCTATATTCTCCTTGACACTGTAGAAAAATCTACCTGAGTTTTTATGTTGATCTTGTACCCTTCTACTTGGCTAGCTGGAGAAGCTGGTGGATTTTAATTACATGCCTTCAGGATTGCAGCACAGCTATTTACCACTAGACCACCAGGGCTCCTCAAGGTTGGAGTATGCTCACTCACTTACATTGATCACTTGGAATCACAGGAATGAAAGTGAGAGGGATACAATAATGGAGAACCAGGCTGAGCTTGGACATATTCCCTCAGCGCTGCCCACCTAGCATGCACAAATGTGTGGACAAGCAAGAAAAGATTGTTGGCTTGAGGAGCTGGGAGTCATGCAGACCCCTGACCCCCTGACTTGAGTTGGTCTTAAGTGGGGGCTAAAAGAGGAGACCTAAAGTTCTAGAATGCAGAGAGAAGTGTGGACTCCAGTGCTGGCAGCTGATTCCCATTTAAACCTACCCACAGATGACTGGGAATGAGTTGTCCAGAACCTAGATGAAGAGAGGTTGATCCATGCTGTGAACTAAGGCTGATTGCTGCTACCTGATTGCTTGCACTGGTCTGGACAATGCTTATAGATGCAGATTCTCAAACTTTCAAAGTTGAAGAGAGGATCTTTCAGCAAAGAGACATCCTTCTTTCCTCAGGTTTGATAGGTTTGGGCAAATCAGCAATTAACTAGCTAAAAAAGGGATGTTAGGGCATGAGGCATGAAGTGGCTGGTTTATATGTTTTACAAAATTAGTTGTTAATGGGTCTAAGAGAGGAAAAATACCCACAATATAAATGGTTGAAATATAATGTAAATTAAGGACTGTGTGGAACATAACGTACATGTATGAAATACAATATGTATTCACGATAAAAATATTCTTTTCTAAAAAAGAATTATTTCAATCTTTTATTAAGAATCTCTCCCTTTACAAGGATCAGTTTTAATTATTTGGTGTTCATGTGTAGTAGGCCAGTTTTGTAATAGATTACAAATAGCGTATTGATGCCACACTTGGTAAGCCAGAAACAATAATGAGAGCTTATCTCTGAAAGGCTAGTTCTGAATAGATTATTTATTTTTAAATTCGTTTTCTTCATAAAGATATCGTACCACATGGAAAGTTTAATATATATCTTTCATTATAGCCTTATGTATCTTAATTGATAGTAATAAATTTTCTTTTATAGTTTATATATTTTGTGATTGTTTTGTATTTCATAATAAAGTTAGCTCATATAAAATAGAAAAATTTTCTTTTTATTAATTTATTCACAAATCAATATTGATCTTCTTTTCATCTCTGAAATAAGCCATTTTACGGCCTTTTCATTTTCACTTATTTTCTCTGTAATAAAAAAATAATGACTATTTGTTAGAAAATAACTGAGGCAAAAACAATTATCATACACACAGAGTGGTATGATAATCAACAGCTTTTTCAATCAAAGCTTTTGATTAATTATTAATATTAATGTCATTTGAATTCTTTCTGTGATTTATCCAAAATTTCACTTTCCAACTTAACTAAATATTTAAAACCTTACTATTAACTAAATCTGAACATGGATAGGCAAATCTAGATGTTAGGTGTCTTAAATTCTCAAAGCTATATGTTGTTGTTGTTGTTAAGTGCTATTGAATTGTAGACAACTCATACAGCAACCCTATGAATGAAAGACCTGAACACGTGTATGACTTTCATCGTTTCTCCAAGTTCACAGAGTTCACAGAGGCAAGCTCTTTCAGAGCTGAATGCCACTCCTGCTTCCAAGTTTGTTGTTTGTTATAACAAGAAAGCTACAAAGGTAATTCATTTTATTTTGTTTCTCTCTTTATGAAACCCTTATCGAACCCACTCTTAAAGAATAAGTTCTAATTGACAGCAATTCTCCATCAGATTTCTGAAGCTACAAATCTTTCCTGGGTGAGACTGCCCATCTTTCTCCTACTGAATACCTGATGGAATTGAACTATAAACCTTTCCATTAGCATCCAGAATTCCACACACTATACTACCAAAGCTCAGACACTAAAAATTCTTAGGCCATAAATACAGTTAGCTGAGGAAAAAAGATGGTAATTGTATCCAGGTAAGATTCACATCTTGGAAATTCAATGGAGAGTTCCTAGAAGTCAGAATCATCTCTAAAACAAAAAGTTTGAGTTTTTAGTTTGATGTAAATACTAGAAGACATGTCTTTGAGAATCACTACCTGAGAAAAAAAGTGTACAACATTTTGTTTTAATGAAAAATATGAGCGATTTCATCAACCCTGAAGCCTTCAATAATAAAAGAGGACTTTACTCTCCAAGACTGGATTCTCACAACAATGAAAGAATCTTTTTAAAAAGAAAAACCAACTGGGCCAGGGTTGGGTGGGGAGATATAAGGAGAAAAATGAGTGACAATCAATGAATGGAAATCCAAGTTTTCTGTAAATTTGTTACCATATTAATTTTTTAAAAAATTAATATAATGAATATAATTGATATAATAATTAATATAATGTTTTTTTAAAAGACTGAATTCTCTCTTCTTCAATATTTTCAGGATCCTTACAGCAAATGTTTCTGATGAAGAGCTGACCAAATAAGAACAGAATCTCTGAGGACAGAGTTCTCAATGAATCTTGAAAATATCAATTAAATTGCATAAAGGCTCATTTCCAAGGATAGTTAAAATAAACATGTGTCTTATGGACTCTTCTTGAGGCTTAAAACCTTACCAAACAGTCTCTTCATTGCCACTTTCATCTCCTTATTTCTAAATGTGTAGATAATAGGATTCATAAAAGGAGTGATAAGGGCATCAAAGATGGCTAGAAACTTATCTATAGGTAAGGTAGGAAATGGCCACACATAGACAATAATGCAAGGGCCAAAAAAAAAGACAACTACTGTGATGTGAGCTGAAAGAGTGGAGAGAGCCTTGGATGAACCACCTGAAGAATGTTTGTGAACAGTGATCAGAATGAAAATGTAGGACACAATCAAGATGAAGAAGGTGCCCATAGAGATAAACCCACTGTTGGCAGTGACCAAAAACTCTAGTCTGTATGTATCCGTACATGCAAGTTTGATGAACCGAGGGAAATCACAATAAAAACTATCCATCTCGTTGGGGCCACAAAAAGGTAAGTTTACAACAAAAGCCAATTGGGCCACAGAATGGATGAAGCCTATGGTCCAAGCTATAGCCAAAAGAGAAATGCACATTCTCAAGCTCATGATGGTCAGGTAATGTAAAGGCTTACAGATGGCAACATATCGGTCATAGGCCATGACTATGAGAAGCACCATCTCTGTACCCCCGACAGTGTGAATGAAGAACATCTGAGTAATACAGCCTTTCAACGAGATAACTTTACGTTTTCGGAAAAGGTCATAAATCATCTTTGGGGTTGCAATGCTGGAAACACCTGTGTCAATGAAGGAGAGATTTGCCAGCAAAAAGTACATAGGGGAATGCAAGTGATGATCTGAAATGATTGTGAGAACAATGAGAAGATTTCCCAGCATACTTGCTATATAAAATATTGTAAAGAGCAGAAACAGAAGAATTTGCATCTCCCAAGAATTGGTAAGTCCCAACAACAAAAACTCAGACACCGAAGAGTAGTTTCCTACATCCATCAACTTCTTGTGCAAGGCTGACCCTGAAGTTAACTGAAGAGATAATGTTGTCATTGGGTGCTCATTGAAAACCTATGAAGAGAGGAAAAAGGCAAAAATATTATTTTTTTCAGTTGAACTGGTAGACCCTGGCTATAGTGAGACATGAATATGAAAAACCAAAACATTCCTTTGCCATTATATACAGTTATTTAGAGTTTGGATAGCAGAAGAGACAGCATCAGCCATTTCTCCATACCTAGATTTAACAAGTCATTGTGTGACTTCAAATTCAATTTAGACTTTAGAATAATAATTTTTTTAATTGTAGGAAAATGCACCTGAAAAATATGAGGAGAGGTAACCAGGAAGTAAAGAGATTTGTGCAGTTTAATTTCTACTCTGACAAAAAGTATCACAGAAAGGAAACATGTGCAAAAGACACAGAAACTTCTTCCCAGCAAATCTAATAGAGTCATGACAGCATCGTGTACTGATTCATACTTTTCTCCATTAAACTGAACTACTACCTTTGTCATATATTAAATTTTCAGACATTTTGGGTTCTGCTTACATATTCTCTATTTTGTTTCCACTGACCTTTCTATTTATGTGCAAATACAAAAGTTTATAATAGTTATTATACTATACTTTTCTTACTATAGCTGACAAGGTAAGTTCCTTCATTATTATTTTCATACTTCCTTAAATATTCTTCAACATGTACTGTCATGTTCATTTCTGTCAAATAAGACTAACTTATAGCTGACCCTACAGATAGCCCATCTTTCTCCCATGGAGCAGCTGGTGGATTTTAACTGCCTGCTTTTAGTTTGGTAGTGCAACTCCACTAGACCCCCAGAGCTCCCTGTTTGAGAGAAATGAAGGATATCTAAAAAAGTTAAACAAATGATGAATCATCAAATTCTTAGATGAGAAGTTTTAAGTCATTACATTGCTTCTTCCAAAGTTAATCTATAACTTTAAAACAATTCCAATCAGAATCCCAATGGAACTTTTTTAGGAGGGATGGGTTGAGTAAAAATAATATTAAATTTTATAGAGAGTAAATTGGGAAGTAGTCTGGAGCAGCTGGATCCTATCGAGGTTTATTTTCTGGTTCTGGTGAGGATTAGGGTGGAATGATTACTGTCATTCGGGTGTGAATTGGTTGTATTCACCATTGGATGTAAGTTGATTATATTCACTATTGGGTGTGAGTTGGTTGTATTCACCATTGGATATGAGTTGTTTGTATTCTGCCTCCTATTGAAAAAGACATTTGGATCCCAGAGGTGCATGGTTCAAATCCACCAGATGCTCTGCTGGAGAAGGAGGGACAATCTCCTCCTGTACCAGTCAGATCTGATTTGACGGTACACACATAAAATAATAAAATTAAAATTGAAAAGAAAAAGACATTTGAGCCCTGGGCCTGATTTTAACTGTGTTTGGTCAAGGATTCTTCTAAGTGGTGTAGCACTGGTCTGTACAGAAGTAACTCTTGGTTGCTCTGATGCTCTGATGCTAAACACTGTGACACTGATGTGTCAAATGCAATACTGGTTCCCCACGGTGTACAGTGTTTAGTAGAGCTCCCTGATTAAAACATGCTTGGAAGCAGAAGTGGCATCCACTTCTGAAATAGCTGGCCTTTGGAAAATCTATGAACTTGGAGAAACAATGAAAGTTATACACGTGTTCATAAGGTCGTTATGAGTCACTTACGACTAGATGGCAATTAAAAACAGCAATTAAATAGGTATTTCTTGTTGTTGTTATTGTTGTGTACTGTTGAGTCAGATCCAACCCATAGCTGACCCTACAGTGGGTTTTCTGAGGCAGTTATCACACAGGAGGAGTTGCCCATCTTTGTCTCACGTAGCTTCTTGCTACTAGGCCACCAGAGCTCCCTACGCAGGTACTACTTTACAGCAATGTTAAGATCATTCTACTCAATACTGACAAACAATAAATCCCATTGAAATTCTAATGTTAATTGTATAAAGTTAAATATTCATTTTAGAAGGAGTAATTTTGTTATTGCTTAAGTCTTCCCAAGAATAAGGCACAACCATCATTTGTTCAAACCTTCTTTTATATCCTTTAATAAAATGTCATCATTTCTTTTTTATATATTCCATGCCTTCTGTTTTAGTATTACTGCCAAGTACTTTATCACTTTTTTTCTTGGCATTTTAAAAAGAATACCTTTTCACCATTTATAGGTTTTTCTTACTAAAATATAGAACTCTCAATTGCTTACTAGTTTTCTTTCTTTTTTCAAATACCTACTTTACTACAACACCATCAGGCAGGACCCAACTGACTTTTAAATAGGAAGGCCCACCCACCAGATCCTGTTTGCCTACACAAGAGGCTTCCCACAAAGAGGCTTCCAGCAGAGCAGGAGAGCATTCATTGTATGGTTTAGAATTGGGAAGGGAGTGCACCCTTGAATGGAATACCTATTCAATCTGTATGCTGAGCAAATTAGCTGAGAAGCTGGACTCTATGAGAAGAAGCGAGGCATCAGAATTGGAGGGAAACTCGTCAATAACTTGCATTATGCAGATAACATAACTTTGCTTGCTGAAAGTGAGGAGGACTTGAAGCACCTGTTACAGAAGATCAAGGAATACAGCCTTCAATATGGATTGCATCTCAATGTCAGGAAAACAAATATTCTTACCACTGGACCAGTAGGTAGTGTCATGATGTATGGAGAGGAGATTGAAACAATCCCAGATGCATCTTGCTTGGATCCACAATTAACATCCTTGGTACCAGCAGTCAGGAAATAAGAATACGCATTGCACTGGGAACATCTGCAGTTAGGGACCTTTCCAAATTATTGAGGAGTAGTGATGTCACTTTGAGGACGATGGTGTAGCTAATTGAGGCCATAGTCTTTCTGATTACTAGCTATGCATCTGAGAGCTGTACAATGCATAGGGATGACAAAGAAATAATTGACACCTTTGAGCTGTGGTGTTGGAGAAGGACACTGAACATCCCATGCACAGCCAAGAGAACAAATAGACAAATAGATATGTCTTGGAGAGGGTGCAGCCAGAGTGCTCTTTGGAGGCAAGAATGATGAGGCTTTATTTCACATACTTTGGACATGTTGCTAAGAGGTGCTTTTCCTCTGAGGGACATGATGTTGAGAATGGTGGAGGGTTGATGAAAGAGAAGACCATCACCCAGATAGATTGATATAGTGACTGCTACAATGGACTATTGTGTGTCAGGAAGTGTGAGTATGGTGCAGGACAGAACAGGGTTCAGATCTTCTGTTCATAGGGTTGCGATTTGTAGTGTCAACTCGATGACACTTAACAACAACTTCTGTAATTGGGTCTAATCATTTCTTTTACTTGAAATTGCTTGAATTTTTCTAGATTTTAAATCATATCATCACTAAAAAGACATTATTTGTTTCCTGTTTAAGTTTTTGCTAATTTTATTTAGATATTAACTTTACCACACATTATTAACATGGAAATCCTAGGTTTCCCTATGCCTTTGCATTGTGATATTGACATGTAGTATTAAATATACCATGGACTGTCTTGAACAAATGAAACAATCTTCATTGTTGTTGCTGTTAAACCAGAACTAAATCACAGTTCACCCTCCAGTGTGTTTTCAGAGGCAAAAAAAAACACAAGGAAGGAGATTGCCCATCTTTCTGTCTTAAGGCAGCTAGTGGATTCAAACCTTATGCCTTCAGGATTGCAGTGCAGTTTCTTATGACTAGGCCATCAGAGCTCTCTAATTCCTCCTAACATTATGTTTCACTTCCATCTACTTTTCCCAGAATTACTGAAATCTTACAATATAGGACATCAGACATTACTGTTTTGTTCTTGTTGTTGTTGTTGTTGTTGTCATGTGCCATCAAGTTGACTATAATCCATAGCAACCCTATGCACAATAGTTCTGAATCCTGCTGTATTCTGAGCCAGTATCATTGTCTCTGATACATCTACCCGCATTGCCCCAGTTATTGTGTCAATCCATCTCATCTGGTATCTTCCTCTCCTGCACCGTTCCAAGCATGATATTTTTCTCCAAAGATTGATCTTCCTGGCAACATGCCCAATGAATGTGGTATGGAGTCTCAAAATCCTTGTCTCCAAGAAGCAGCTTAGTTTCACTCTTTCCAGGACAGACTTGTTAGTTCTCTTGACTATGTATGTATGTTCAAGACTCTTCTCTAGCACTACAATTCAAAGGCATCAATTGTTCTCCTGTCATCTTTGGTAATTGTCCAGCTCTCTGATGAATAGCAAGTAATTGTGAAACCATCACCTGTATTGGGTGTACTTTGGTCTCTAGACTGACATCCTTGCTCTTCAACCTGCAGGCAACGCAAAGGCATGAACTTTCCTATGTAGCGTCTTGGTTATATAATTAGGTTGGCTAAAACATTCTGCACCTTCACTTTTCTGAAACTAGTCAAGTGGCAATTACCAAACAGCTTAGTGTAGCTAAATCTTCATTCTCATGATCTGTTTGAATCACTTCAAATTCTTCAATATTCATTATGTTCTAAGAAATAATGTGGTGAGTAGAGTGTACAAAGACTATATCTTCCCCTGTTAGTAATTTAGGCTACTCCTTGGAGGCAAGGATTCTGGGGCTTCGTCTGACATACTTTGGACATGTAATGTTGTAAGGAGAGACAGGTCCTTAGAGAGGGACATCATGCTTGGTAGGGTAGAGGGACAGCACAGGAGGGGAAGACCCTCTATGAGGTGGATTGATTCAGTGACTGGGGTAATCGGGATGGGTGTGTCAGAGGCAATGCGATTGGCACAGAATAGAGCAGGGTTTAGGGCTGTTGTACATAGGGTCGCTATGAGTCGCAAATGACTCGACAGCACATAACAACAGCAACAACATAAACTACACTTAAATATGTACTTGATTGATCATGTAAGAATTCTAACTAGTCATTAACCCTAGAGAAGGCCATAAAACATTGTCATTGAGAAGTACAAGGGGAAATCATG